TTACCTTAAATTAATAATGATGACTTAAACATAGTTATTTAACTTTTTAAATATAAGATAAAAAAGGTAAATTTGCAGTTTTTTGTTGTTGAGCTTTGGTCCATTTTGCTGATCCACACCCCAAAGGCAACTGTTGTAGTGATTTTGATGTATCTCCCTTCTAATGAATGTCTATTTGTATTTCATTTTATTTCTAAACTGATTTTAGGTACAAGCAGGTCATCAACACCTGCGATCTTTGCCTCTGACCCTGCCACCTGCCCCATCATCCCTGGCTGTGAAACAACTATTGAGGTTTCTAAAGGACGGACAGGGCTGGGCCTGAGCATCGTTGGTGGATCAGACACCCTCCTTGTGAGTACCACTCAGAGCTGCCCCAGATAAAGTCACAGCCCATTGTCAGCCTAAAATCCACTGGCATCAAGTCAGTTCTAACTCATAGCGATCGCATAGGGCAGGGTAGACGTACTCCATAGAGTCTCCTAGGCTGGAAATCTTTATGGAAGCAGACTGGCACATCTTTCTCCCACAGAGCACCTGACAGGTTCCAGCTACACTCCAGTGCCAAACCCCCTGCCCTATCAGTCTAGGAACTGTTATCTGGTAGATTTTTATCAATTATTTTAAGTGATGTGAAAGGCTTAGACAAATGTAGCATTCATTGTTGCTTTCATTTTATTGTCATTGTTAAGTGCCGTCAAGTTGGTTCCGACTCATAGCGAGCCTGTATAGAGTTTCCAAGGAGTGGCTGGTGGATTTGAACTATTAATCCTATGGTTCAAATCAATCTTGTGGTCCAAAGTGACCATGTGGTCCAGTGCTTTCCCTACAGTACCACACCAGGACTCATTCATGTTAGAACTCAATTAAGTATGGGGATATTTACTATGAGTAAACCAATACTGAATCAGTAATATATTACCATTTTAATGTTAAGTTTTACATTTCAAAATATTTCTGTCAGATCACCAGTCCTTGCTGTATTTTTATTTTCCCTTTTTTACTGACCGGTTATGGTCAGGTTAGATCCATACTGAAAGGAGTCTTTGAAAGACTAGACAATCTGTAGATTAAATTCCCATACTGATAAGAATGCTTTTAAAATAGAATAATTTCATTTGTAACTATGAGAGGCAGTTGTTGTTAAGTGTTGTTGAGTTGGTTCTGACTCACAGGGACCATGTATAGGGTATCCTAGAAATGGATGGTGAGTTTAAACTGCCCACCTTGCCATTCAAACTACTCTTACAGTCCAGTGCCTATCCTAATGCACCACACCAGGACTCCAGATAGAAAGGTGGTAGTAGTGGTGATTATGGGCCATGGAGTTGGTTCCAACTCATAGTGGTTTAAAAGCCTGTAAACCTTTATGGGAGCAGAAAGCGTCATCTTTCTCCCACAGAATGGCTGGTCGTTTTGAACTGCTGACCTTGAGGTTAGAGTCCTGACTCGTAACCACTATGCTACCAGAGCTCTTCAAGATAAAGGTATCAAATAATATGTATAATTTTTGTTGTTGTTAATTGCCATTGAGTTGGTTTTGACTCTTAGTGACCGTATACACAGCAGAAGAACACATAACCCAGGTCTGTGCCATCCCCACAATTGTTATGTTGGAGCCGGGTGCAGCTGCCACTGTGCCAGTCCACCTCCTTAGGGGTGTTCTTCTTTTTTACTGACAGAAAGGCAACAATACACATGGATCTCACCAGATGGAATACACAGGAATCAAAGTGGCTGAAGAAATTGCATATATGCATGCATATCATATATATTTGATTTACTTATTTTATGTAGTTTTTAAATTAAATGTTTTCACCATTTAACGTTGTTAGTTGCTGTGATACTGAAAGCTATGCCACCGGTATTTTAAATACCAGCAGGGTCACCTATGGTGGACAGATTTCAGATGAGCTTCTAGCCAAAGGCATACTAGGAAGAAAGAGTGACAAACTACTTCTGAATATTTAGTCACTGAAAACCTTATGAATGACAGAGAAACACTGTCAGATATAGTCCCGGAAAATGAGGCCCTCAGGTTGGAAGGCACTCAAAATGTGACTGGGGAAGAGCTACCTCCTCAGAGTAGAGCTGACCGTGATGACGTGACTGGAGAAAAGCCTGTGGGAGAAACGCCCGCGGGACCTTCATTTGCTGATGGGGCACAACTCAAAATGAAGAGAAACAGCTGTAAACGTCAACTGAAAATCAGAACATGGAATGTACGAAGAATTAATCTGGGAATACTGGAAGTTGTCTAAAATGAAATGGAATACATAAACATCGATATCTTAGGCATTAGTGAGCTGAAATGGACTGGTATTGGCCATTTTGAATCTGATACCCATATGGTTTACTATGCCGAGTATGACAAATTGAAGAGGAATGGTGGTGTTGCATTCATTGTCACAAAGAACATATCCGGACCAGTCACGAGGTATAACGTTGTCTGTGATAGGATAATATCCATGTGCCTGCAGGGAAGCCCAGTTAATACCATTGTTACTCAAATTTACGCACCAACCACTAAAGCCAGTGAGGATGAAATAGAAGAATTCTACCAACTTCTTCAACTGATATCTATCAAACATGCAATCAACTTGTATTGATCGTTACTGGTGATTGGAATGCAAAGGTTGGGAGCAAAGAAGAAGAATCAGTAGTTTGAAAATATGGCCTTGGTGATAGATATGATACTGGAGAAAGCATGATAAAATTCTACAAAACCAATGATTTGTTCATTTCAAATACCTACTTTAGACAGCATAAGACATGACTATACACATGGACCTTGCCAGATGGAATACATAGAAATCAAATTGACTACGTCTTCGGAAAGAGACGATGGAAAATCTCCATATCATCAGCGAAAACAAGGCCAGGGGCAGACTGGAACAGACCATCAATTACTCATATGCAAATTCAAATTGAAGCAGAAGAAAATGAAAACAAGTTCACGAGAGCCAAATATGACCTTGAATATATCCCTCCTGAATTTGGAGATCATCTGAAGTACAGATTTGATGCATTAAACACTAAAGACTGAAGACCAGAAGAGTTGTGGGATGACATCAAGAACATCATACAGGAAGAAAGCAAAATGTTGTTAAGAAGACAAGAAAGACAAAATGGATGTTAGAAGAGACACTGAAACTTGCTCTGCAGCATAAAGATGCTAAAGAAAATGGAAGAAATGAGGAGATCCAAGAGCTGAACAGAAAATTTCAAAGATCAACTCTTGAAGATAAAGCCAAATATTACAACAAAATGTGCAAAGATCTGGAATCAAAATACCAAAAAGAAAGAACACACTCAGCATTTCCCAAGCTGGAGGAACTGAAGAAAAAAATTCAAGCCTTCACTTTCATTATTGAAAGATTATCTGGGCAAACTATTGAATGATGCAGAAATCATCAAGAGAAGATGGAAGGAATACACAGAATCACTGTACCAAAAGGAAATGGTTAATGTTCAACAGTTTCAAGAGGTAGCATATGATCAAGAGCCAGTGATAC